ACCGATATAATTTTAAAAATAATATATATTTTGATGTATAAACGATAAATTAAAAACTATATTAGTAATTTTAAACATAAGAATTCAGATTAGTTTGGGAGTTCAGATTATAAAGGAGACAGTGGTTGTTAAAAATATAAATTAAAATTTAAAATCAACTAAAGATTAAGAAAAAAGAAGTAAAGTAAATATCTATAGTTCGCTAAAAATATATTGACTTATAATATTTAAAATATTTCTGTAATTATTTTATTAAGATAGAATTATAAAAAAAATAGTTACATTTTCTAATAATGTCATCTTGCTTAAGATTATTTTTAAAGTATATTGTTTAGTATTTTTAGTAAATAACAAAATTTTGTAGAGATTATTTTATATAAAAATATTAATTTACTTTTACTTTTTAAAAATAAACTAGATTTTGACCCGCGCAATCGCGCGGGTGTTTGTTTTCGTTTATAGTTATATAAACATTTTTTTTTCACTTGTAAATTAGTATATATTATAGTATTCACATATTTACTATATGTATAGTAAATGTTTTTTAAACATAATAATATTATATAATACGTGTTTTAATCAAATAGATTGTTTCAAATTTTCTATATTATACACGTTTTTCAAACATGTATTTGTTTCTTCTTCTATATTTTATTGTTTGTTAGATTAATATTTCATTTTTAGATAAAGTAATATAAATAGAGCTTGATTAAATATTAATATACTTTAATTTGCAAAGATAATATAAACTTCGAAGAAATTTTTGCTAAAAACTAAACTTATAGCTTCATAAATTAATATTATAAAAAATTATTAAAAAAAGAATTTTTAAACAATTTCTTTTTTAAAACAATATAATTTTAAAAATTTACATCGAAATAAATTTATTTAGTATATATAGCGTGCAAATTTTGTTAGGTATATAAATATTCCATATTACAAATCTGTGATTTTTGTTAATATATTGTGGATGCATTAACTATTATTGACATATTTCCTTATAAATAATAGAAGATTCCTAAAGTTATATCTATTGATATATTTTGCGTGATTAAGTTGGAAGGTGGGAGGGTAATTTACCAAAATCAAATTGTTAAATGTATCTTTGTTATTATAGGTATGATTTTTCATAAAGTATAATAATGATAAAATTATTAGAGAGTTAATGTAACATGACTTTCTAGTTATAGTCCATTTTTTTATAAAATCACACATGAAGTCAAGTCATGACTTCTGTTTTAATATATAAGATACTCAAACATTTCTTTTATATTTAATATTTTGAAATCATCTTATATAAGAAAAATATAAATATACTTTAGATAATTCGAGATATTTTTAATTTATGTAGTCTAATAAAAAATACAAAGAAATTTTCAATTAAATTTATGTTAACAAATTATTATGCAAAACATATGTAAAACCCTTAGTAATATTAGTTTTAAAATACTTTTAGTTCATAAAGAAACTTCAATTTATGCTATGTTATCTAAGTTAGTTTTGATCATCTGAAAATATAGCTTGATGTAAAGAAAATATTATTATTACTTTAAAAATATATATATTATGTTATTTAAGATTATGTATTAAAAGGAATATATTTCTAATATTAAGATGCTTATTGTGAACTTTCCTTTTTTATGAACTCAAATTATATATGTGAAATATTTTCGTTTTAAAAATTTAGTTTTCTTCCTTTAATAAAAATTTTATTGTTAAGTTTCCTTTTTTTATGAAATCAACTTATTTATTATACATATTTCGTTTTTAAAATTTATAGTTCATTAATCAATGTTTACTTTTATTATAAATATTATTTGGAAAGAAAATAAANTGAAATCAACTTATTTATTATACATATTTCGTTTTTAAAATTTATAGTTCATTAATCAATGTTTACTTTTATTATAAATATTATTTGGAAAGAAAATAAAGAAAAGAAAAGATAAATTAAAAATAAATAAAATTTTAATAGTAATGGAAATTAGATATAATATTTTTAGTTCATTAAGGGTATCTATGTAATCAACCATCGTGAAAGTTAACATGAGCGCGACACATAGGAAACTGACTTCTCAAATAATATTATAGAGATTAGATATTTATTTTTTAGTTATAAATGTAATAATTATGTATATGAAAATGTTTATATTTTATAAATTTATTAATTTTTTTTTTTAATATTGTATAGAATGCTCGATGCATGTAAATTGTTACACTATTATAAATATTGTTATCATATATATTTTTAGATAATAGAAGTTTTAACTTTGTTTGTAATATATCAAGAAAGTTTGGCAATTAGTTTGTGATATTTTATATATATATATATATATATATGTGATCTTATAATATTTAGATTTAAAATTTAATCACAAGAAATTTATTTATGAACCAGAAATAATATTCAATACATTTTGTTTGATAAAATAAGAATTATAAAAATTAATTTTAATTAACAGTAATTATAGTTATTCGTCGTACTCCAGATGAAGAAGATCCTGAAAAGCCTTGGGTTTCCATTAATTTGTTCTTCAATCTGAGCATTAACATGTAACATGCTTCGTCCCATTTGCCTCACTACGAAGAATTTAATCAAGCTCAGATTCTTATAAATTGGTATCCATCGATGAAGACCGCCTTATCTACAAAAACTATCATCTCTGCTAATTATCAGTTCCACCAATGTCAAACACCTTCACCCTGCTGCTGATCTGAAAGCCGGTCGATGTTCAACCAACGTATTCATCTCGCTCATCTCACTCGCTCTCTCATGTATACCATTTTGTTTTATTGATTAAAACATTTGCTGCTCTATGATTTTTTATTTTTTATTTTTTTTTAAATGCCAACATATTTACAAACCAGGAAATTGAGTTCCTTTGCACCGGGAAAGTGACAAATACTCATATGGATAATGGGTGGTGTTACAATAAAAACAGTAGTGGCCGACTACAAGTGGGGGTGTATGTGATTTTTTTCTGATCTTAATGGTAATGAAATAGAGCGTAAGTGAGTTAAGGGAGAAGCTAAACAGAGTCAACTCAGAGAACAAGAAGCTGACAGAGATGCTAGAAACAGTCTACGAGAACTACTACATATTACATCATCATCTGGAGAAGCTCCAGAGTCGAAGTAGCCATGAAATAGATATGATCTAACAAGAAAAGCAAAAAAAAAGATCCGGAGGAGTTCTCAGGGTTTCCTAATGAACTCAGTAGTTAAAAAAGTGAGAACAACTCCAGCAACCAAGATCATTTCAGAAGCAGCAACATGAGCAGTAAAATAAGCTTCTTTCATGCAAAAGACCAGTCACTGATATCGTCAACAAAGCAAAGATTTCAACAGTCTCTGTTCCTGCTGATTCTCCTGACACAAGCTTGGTAAGTGTTTTGCGGTATTGATGTTTATGTTTGCTATGGGCGCATAAGAACTACACAGTGTAATGTTGTGGAATTACTTTGCAGTCAGTAAAAGATGTGTATCAATGGGAAGAAATATGGGCATTAGGTTACTTTAGATGTTCGTTAGTCTGTTTTGTCCAGTAAAGAAGAAGGTATGTTCAAACACACTGGGTTTGATTTTCATTTGTAATCGTTTGTCTCTGCTTCTTCAGCTGTCTTATGGTGATCTGTGGCTTATGTTGCTGTTTTTCAGGTGCAATGCAGCGCGTAGGAGTCATCCGTACTGGTGGCTACATATGAAGGGACGCATAATCACTTGGATCAAGCACTATGACTTTGGATATGGTTCGTGGTGCACACATATATTAGCTTTGGAGAACAAAAGGAGAACGATGCAAGAGGTTTTGGTTCAGCAAATGGTGTCTTCGTTAACTACTGATTCAAAGTTTGTTGCTACTGCTATATCTAGGAGGTTGATGGAGCGAGCAGTCTAGAACATGATGCTTTCATTGAATGTTTTTCTTTTGGTTATCCATGGAAAATATGATAACAATCTCTTCTCTTTCAAATTGTAGCTGTTACTTGCGAAACAAAATCAATTATTCTATTGTAAACATAAAAAATTACTTTAAAATAATAAAATTTAAAAGGTACAATTATAAATTTGCTATAAGCAAACATAAAATGTATGAAGAAATCTTATCTTTACATTTTACAAGTATTTACCTCTTTAAATAGAATTCTAAAAGGAAAATGATTGCCGCATTTTGAAAACGCATATCAAAATTTAGATAATTTAATATAAATTAGGTTCATTAAGTGATGCAAGTTTCCAGTTTTTTCTGGCGATCCTTGCAATGACTATTGTTTGGTAAATACCTTTTATGTTTTTCAAATTTATGTCTCTCAGATAATTTTATACTAGGATAAGACCTGCGCCTTGCGCAGGGTGAATATATGTAATTAAAATATAAAATTTTAGTATTGACAAATTTAAAATTTACATATGATTTTTTTTGTATGTATTTGAAATTGTAGAATTTTGGAATTTTTATATAATTATCTGTACGTAGGATCAGAAACAATTTTAATTAGAAATGTAGATCAAATCTTAGAATTTAATGGATCTGATTTCATAAATCTTTTTACTTTTCAGTGTTCGAGTGATGAAAAATAAATGGAGTGTCACTGGGCTTGATTGGTAGAGTATTAGCAAGTTCCCTAAGGTTTTTTAAGAAGCAATTAGTAAAATATTTGCATTTAAAATATATAAAGTTTCTAAACTAATTTAATATAATTTATTTATTTGTCTAATAATATTAGAAAATTATATTTTTACAAATTATTATTTTTTAAAATAATTGTTTAACAAAATATTTTAAATTATAAATTATTTTTAAAAACAATATTTTAAGTATTTCAAAAAATAAACAATTTAAAATTAATTATGGTCATGATTTAACATAACCATAATGATATAAAAAATTAATAAAAAAAAAGTTGACAAATTAAAAATTAACTCAGTTTTATCTCATGATTTAACAATTTAAAAATTAATTATGGTTATGAGAAGTTTACGTTCACGTGTCAATCCTATTTATTTTCCATTTTTCTCTTGCTATGTTTTTTTTTTATATTTTGGTTATTACTCGATATAAATATTTATTTTGAATTTTATTCTTATTTCGTTTGTTTGTTTTGACCTGAAATTTAGAAAATATTTAAGATTTAAAATAATTAAACAGATACATACATAGGTAAAGATCTGCACTTTATGCACAATAAGTATTTTATATTTATTATTTATTTTATATTTTTCTGCATATTATAAATAATAAAATAATAAATATATATATTAAATAACAAAGAAATGAGTTATTATTATGTAATAAATTGGCGTATGCATATAAATTAAACTATTACTCTTGTTTATTCACAATTAGGGTAAATAAATAAAAATAATCAATCTTATATATTGTATATGATATATAATTAAATTTAAATGATATAAACATAGTAATATAGCACACTTTTAATATGGATATTTATTAAATGAGGTTTTTACTCATATGATTTTATGATTATTTGTATATTTGTGTAACAAAACTTTACACCAACGAATTTTTTTTAATGTGAGATTTTTAGTAGTTTCAATAATTTATAATCATTTAAAAAAAACAATGACAGATTTCAAAATTAAAATATTAACTTTTCAATATATGTTCAAGGCAAATATCAAAATATAAGTATGTATTTTCATACGATGTATAGTTTAATTAAAATGATATGAAATATATATAAACTAAATTTTTTTCTATATATGGTCTTATAATCATTATATTTTAGTATAGAAAAAAAATTAAAACCTTGATCTTAAAATTTTATGTGGGACTTTTAACAGTTTTAATAATTTATACTCATTTTGAAAAATTCGTAATACAACATACACAAAAAAAAATCTAGAGTTTTATAATATGATTAATGTAATTGTGTAATTTATTTTAATAATAAAGAAATAAACATAATTGAAAAAAGTATACAGATTGTTATCAAATCTTTATTGTTTAAAATAATTAATTGTCATATATATACTTTAATCACATTAGGTAATTCCGTAGGTTTTATTTAAGGAAAGCATGCGAGACAATAAATATTTGATATATACGACCAACTATAGCCTACGAAATATTATATTTCTAGAGAATATAATTTTTAAACTATACATTATATCACATGCTCTAAAATCCTTGGAATTTGAAATAGAAGCCAAATAGCTGTGCCACGTAGTATTGGGGTTATTTTTAATTCTTACAAACTTAAAGTTACAACTTTTTAAATGATTCTCAAATAATATATAGGGGATGCCAAACAATTTATCTATTGTACCATATATTTATGTTTTAAAGTGTTGTATGTTTCTCATTTGTTTGGACTATAAAATTATCTAAGAGACAAATAAAATTGAAAAAGATAAAAGTTATTTAACCACACAATATTTGTCTAAAAATTAAATTTATTAAAATAAAAAATATATTATATGGTTAAATATATACACAAATACAATATAAAAAGGCTCCGTAAGTAACAAGAATCAAATTTATGTATATATCATTTTGGTTAGTTTAACATATATAACCATAATATGAACAACCAACAAATATACAAACGTTTATAATCTATCCATAAATCACAAATAAATCATAAATACTATTTATTACAAATAAAATAATACTATTGTGGAAATATTTTCATTGAGCGGTAATTACAATTAAAAAGTTGCAAGGGCATGTATTATTCCATTTTTCCTTTCAAAATAAAGTAAGTTTATCAATAGAATTAAGTTTTATTTTAATTTCTAAATTAATAATTAATTGATAAATAAATTATTATTTTGTATATTAATTAACAGATATTTTTCTTAGAAAATAGAAAATGAAATAGGATAGATTTTTTAGCTACTAACCTCATTTTTAATAGAAAACATTTTAAAGTTGGAAATAAGTTGGAAATGCTCTAAATATTCGTATGTTATAGAGACAAAATTGTAAACTTTTGTTTATAAAAAAACATTAATATTTTTAATTACTTTTTATTTTATCTTGTTTCGGTTTTGGCTTGGAGAATCTGAAATATGATGGTTAATTGAACTAGCTAGCAGTTCAAACACCACTAACGTGATTACTTTTAACTTTTTTTTTTTTTGGCAACGATTACTTTTAACTTTAAAGAGTTGCTCAAATCACACTAAATCAATACTATTAAAATAGAATCATTGACCTATTGATAAATGTTGTGTCGAACTATATATTCTCTTTTTTTAAGGAATCATTTATTATTCTTTTGATATAATTGTATCAAATTTATTTAAACATTAACCACTAAATTATTTTTGCGAATATTTGGATCACATTATAATTGTAACTGCCAAAAACCGTTTTTACTTTCTCTCTATCATGATTGTTATGATCATTAGTTAATGTTTCAGTATCAAACAAAAGATTTACCCAACAACAAAGAATTACAGAACAATGAACATGATGAAAAGAAGAAGATATCAATTTGTATGAATTTACGTTGAGTTTATGTTCGGTGGTCGAGCCTCATGGTGAATGGGGAATTAACCCGACTCGGCCATTAAATCGGTTCTGTGAAAAATCTTAGTTTTTTTTAGTTTATGAAAGAAACAAGTCTATATTAATTACTTATATAATTATGTGATAGGTACGAGCACGAATTTGATGAATATAAGTGAATCAGATGATTAAAAAGATGAAAGGTGGCTGCTATTACTGGAGAAGAATTGCAGAGTATTATTTTCAAAAAAAAAGAATTGCAGAGTATTGAGAAGAAGATAATAGGTTAATTATTACTTTACCTTTTACTAGAAAAAATAAAACAAAAAAACGAAACGACGACATGATCAATGAAACTTGGGTCCTATATTTTGGAGAAAGTTTCATACATAAACTTTTTCAAAATTAATAAACGTATATATAAATATTTTAAGTATCAATATTATTAAAAAGCTAATTATATTTCAGAAATTGCTTTTCTGCGCTTTTTATATTTTGTAACCACCATTTTTCCGAAAGAATCGGGATCCACTTCCTTATATATCTAAAACCTGTCGACAATATATAATTGTATAAAATTTCATATAAGGAGATGGGCTTTGCAGATTACGGCTCTTTATAACAAGTAATAATAATCAAATTGAGTTTTAATCCTAACATCTAAACATTTAATAATGATTTGAG